TGTATATATACGACATGCAAATACTGTACAGCCAACAAAACATTTACAAATTCTGCTTTCTGAACATAACTACGGTACTGTACTGCTGGATCCAAAGGGAACAAAGAGAGACAAGCATATACAGCACATTCTTTGGTATCTTTTATTCTCATTTACAAATATGTAAAAATGTACATAATATACATTATTTACAAATGAAATTACTATTATTTACAAATAAAAGTGGATTTTATGGATAACTACAGTCATTAAAAAATGACAATGGCACCATAACACATTGATGAAACAAAAGCTTCATCATTATGTTAACAAAATAAAAATAAATTCTTTTAAACAAAGACAATTCAGCTGTTGATGACAATGGCACCATAAAAACAAATATGAAGCTTTTTTCCTTTGATGTCTCAAGTAAAAATCTTTATTATGAATCATATCTATTATCTTTTGTTATTGATGCCTTCTATAGTAATTACAGTATACTGAAAACTTGTAAAAGGTGAAAAATAATATTGAGTTTAACTACTTAGTGATCGTGAAAAAAATATAATAACCAATATTTGATCACATTCATTCACATCTGAATTAATAGTAGTATAATAGTAATAGTACATCAGTCACAGCTCCTCATAACTTTCAAAGCATTTTCTGAATCCTACAATAAGGGGGCTTTGAATTAATGGAGCAGCATTTATTCTTAAAAAAAAAAAGTAGACATTCTAAACCGGGTTTTCTTTTCTAGGGAATACTGTACTATACTGCATGGTAATATACCTGTATTTTGCCTTGGGAATATTTTCTTAATGTGTAAATCAAGAATGTTCTAAAATCTAAATTATTCCCATTTAAATGATGGCTGCCACCTTGTCAGAAATAGGAACGAGTTTACTGTAGACATTAATTTAAATCTTACATCTTAGATTAAGTGTATTTTTTTGTTTTACTGTGATATGCAATGACCATTATTACATTGTTTTAACTATTATCATAAACATTATTTCAACAAAAGTATATGTTGGCAAATTTGACCCTAGTATCCCATTATTTAAAGCTATTGTTATCATATTACTGTTGATCTTCTGTATGTTGCACAAACCATCACATTTGACCATGGAATACAGATTTAATTAAAGTGCCTTGTACACTGCCTGCTAGGCTCGGTCAATGCGCAGAGCTTATCAAACATTATTATTTACACTAAGTTATGTTAGCATAATGTTATCAAGATATGACATTTAGGAATATGAAGAGTAACAGGAGATATGTATAATTCATCATTAGAGCTCTCAGTCGACTAGTAGTCATAAATGTTACATAAAAGTGGTAAAATTTCAACAGAGTAGCATATTTTTTCCAGATTCAGTTAAACTAAAAGTTGAAAGTATGTATTATGATTCATGTTAGGATTCAGAGTTATGATCCATCTTAAAGGCTGAAAGTTAATTTCTTAAATGAGATAAGCCTTATGCTAAACAAATGGGTTAATTTTGACATAATTTAACATTTAAAGTACAGTACAGGAATAAGGGAGTTACTGTAATGTGACTTTGAAAATTGCATCATAACCATAAATCATAAAATGTAAAATTATATAATGATGAAAACTAAATAACAAAAGGAAAAACAAAACCAGATATTTAAAAAAAAAGTGAGATTCCATTAATGGCTAGGATAATAAAGATAGTGTATCAAATCTTTCATTACTGAAGAGATAAAATACAAACACAGTATAGGTACTGCACAGGTATTATCTCTATCCTATGTGCTTCACAGTGACCCCTGAACACATCCTGTTAGAAACAAGCAAACCAGGTGTATGTTATTCAATAAAAGTCTTTTGTTATAGTTGTCTATTGTGCACAAATGTTCTTGACTCGAAAATAAAAAGTGAAGTCTATCAAGTCTTTTGTCATTATGAGATGAATAAATTCCCCAGTAAGGTAGCTACTGCACCTATGACTGGGAGGAATGCTATAAAATTTTTAATACTGAAAACAAATAAAAAACAGATCACGGGTATGGAACAATGGAATCAAGAGTACTGTAGTATTTCTATGCTAATCTGGCCCATAAGCCATGTCCATTTTCTACACTAATAGCTGACTGGTTTGTAGAAAATTCAAAATAAATGTGTTCACAATTGGTAAGATGACCTGCTATTATCTAAAATGTTAAATATTTATCTGAACTATCAAAATACAAATGATCTCAAGGCATTAGCACTTCAGAGACAATGTTAGAAAATTCTAAATATTTATCATAAAAGGTCAATGTAAATATGCTTTTGTACACATGCAGTCCAGGGGGAGGTAAAACGCTCAGGGGAACCAATCAGCAATTTGTAGCTATAGACGAAGGGCGGAGCTTACAGGCCAGGTTAGAGTGGAAAGGGTATACTGTACTAGTAATGTCATTGTCTTCATAAAAGAGGTTTGATTCAGTGAGTATCAGCCATCACACTTGCCTCACACAATGACAAATTTTATTAAATATTAAATCAGATGATATTTTTCTTTACGTCTGTACTAATGGTTCCATTTTATATAAGTGGAAATGAAGCAAGGCTGATAATGACCCTCAACTGATGGAAATATTGAGGAACAAATTAATCGCTTTTACTTCTATGGTGAAGAAACACTATTTTCTGTCTTCACTTTCTAGAAGAATGGAGAAATGGATCACACAGAATGTCAGCTCCAAACTTTTTATGGTCATTTATGTTCTTAATTAAATGTACTCACAAGGAATACCATTGTTTTTTTTTTTTCACTTTATAAACTTAAGAACAACATGTTCCATACTTTCATTAAAAGGAAAACAGACATTCTCTTTTAAGTTAATAAGAAGCTTAAAATTAATACAGTACGAGACTCACACCAGCTTGAAATGACAACTAAATCTAAATCATAAATATTTTTGTTACTGGTAAATAAAAATAATCAGTTTTCTCCATCCAAAATAATAAAAAAAAAAAAAAGTAAACATCAAAGCAATTCCCAATTCATGACACTGCTAGATTACATGGGTGTAAGAGGTCACTTGTGCACCAAGACATATACAGTACAAAATACTGTATACAGTACTACTGGTATATCATTAAGACAGTATATGGGAAAGCACTTAGATAATCCTGGCCATCATGAATTTAAATAATATTAATTTAGAAGGACATCTATAACTAAATCTCATGATTAATAATTAAATGAAGTATTGACAGTAGTATGACATGAATTGAGAGTACCAGACAATACATTACATTCTAACACTCCATTTGGACAATATTCTCTAAAACAAAATATGTCCAATAGATACAATATGATATTGTAGCAAGGCATGAGCATATTGATACTATGGTAGGTATTCTAACATGCCAGGATACACAGACATTACTTTGAGGCCACATATACACTTGTATGTACACGATTCATGAGCAAAGGCTTGGAAGGTCCCTCTTAACATGATATATCAGGGACATCTCCAAAAAGCTTACTCATGATAACTGCTTCACCTACTTTTCTTCTTTAGAAATTGTGCTAAACACTTGCTATGTCCACATACATATGCTTCATGCAAGCTTTTAAGCGTCTATATCACCACTAAAAAATCCATAGCACGTTGGCCATTTTCACAAAGTGTTGAGGAAGTCGTTTCCCTTCATGAGGTATACAGTCCAGTCTTCCTAAAGTTTTTATAAATGAGGGAGTTTTAAATTAAAAGGATTATTTTCATTTTCACTTGCAAAATCAAATTGATAATTATCTGGTACTAACATCTGTTGCATCTGTAATACACTGTAACCAAAACAATAATTACCGGTACCGAAAATAGAAAAAATAATTGTTTATGTACAGTCGCTCAAAATTTTTTCTGAAAAGTAGGGTCGGATGGATATCAAAACGAACAATACAACCCCTGTTGTCTGGGCACTGTTGCCTCGGTAGGGTTGGTAAGCGTGAGTAGGCGTAGGTGCCACAACTGCTTTTAACCAGGGTAGTTTATATTTATAATTACAAGTATCAATCGACATGTAAACTGTCAACATTGCATTTAGTCATACAGTACCTGTATGAAAGCAGCATAATCGCTATACATAGCATGTTTGATGCCCATTGTGAAACAGTATCGATGACAGGGTAGAGTTGCCATGTTGCTATGAACCCAAACAATGTTAGCATATACTACTGTATATAATAGCCAAACAGTATGTAGTAATGTTGGAGTATGTAATATAACAGACACCCAGGATCATGAAACAATAAAGGCTATATTTCAATAATATCGTGTTCGTAACAATGTCATTGATTATTAAACGTGATAACCTTTACAATCTGAAACCTGTATGTCTCAGCATCGGAAAATACGCCCTTATCATTATGAATGTTTGAGGTGTCTCAGGTAAGGTGTCCGGCGATTTGCTAGGCGTATAGCACTTATTCAAAGTTGAATTCGAGACCACTGTCATAATCATTTCATTCGTCATGGAGACGACACAGAGTATGCGTAGAGTGATAATTGCCCTTTGCAATGAAGGTAATGGCAAGGCAGAAATTGCGAGGCGTGTCCTACAATATCAAATACTACGTATGGATATATGTAGTCAACATATGCATTTAGTTGTTGTTGTTGATGTTGAGCAGAGGAACATTTAAGCATTACCATGCACATATTGTTTACTGTATATATGTCTGACATGGATAATGTCTTTTTAGACTGTAATTCCCTGTTAATACAGTACAGTACTGTATAACCATATTAATTATATTCATATGAAACACGATAATGAGAAATGGCAGGTAACGTCTTATATATTACATGGCAAACATTGTGGCATGCAGGGCTACCACCTTTATGCCTGGTCCTCTACCATTTCTGAGAAACATACATCCGATGTGTCACATTGTCATGAAAAAAATTTTCAGATACTTTTTTGAGCGACTGTACACCTATAATTTTTCGGGGTCTTTTCCTTTAAAAAGATTATCATCAAATAAACATTCCTCATCTCTGTATATCAATATTTTTATTATAGGCATTTTTGTCTCACGACTAGAAATTGTCCATCCTTTATCAGCACAACAGTGTGATGAAGGTATCGTCTGTATATTTTGTGGTTACCATAGTTTACACTTATACACCATAAACACTAGGTGAACACAGGTTACATATTATCCTACAGATTATTATTTGATACCTCTGTAGGGAATGGCTGAAGAACCGGAAGATAGGTTTTGTAATGTAGACACGCATATTTTAAGATTATCCTAGATAATGCCACAAATATTATAATGAGTGGTCTGCAATATGGACCCCATATATGATACAAGATTGAATACAATCTGACTGGCTAATCTAGCATCTATCCTTCATTTGCTTTGTATGATTATATATTGTGGATCAACTTTATAAACACATGTCTAATTATTACCCACAAATCACTCAAAATACTTAGTTTAGAGGTAAGCTTAGATGCAAATGGTTTGTCAGCAGGTTACCGGGGATGAGAGAGGGCTTGTTGATGACTTTGTTGGTGAGGCTGGTGGTTGTTTCGTGGTGGTGAATGTTGATGGGATAATGGGTGGGAGTCTGGCAAGGGGGATAAACTGTGTTGAATGACATGTTCTTTAATTCCATTAGCTTGGTGGGGATTGTGTGGGATAGGGCCATGCTGAGGACTGTGCTGAACACCAGGGGGACCATTCTGAGATGCTAGAAGGGGATTAGTGCTGTCTGCTGCATATGCTTTGTCACCCATGCTTCCATAGAAAGCAGAGGTAGACTCATAGAGGGCACTTTGGTCAGTGTATATAGCACTACCTTCATTATAAGGAGAGTCACTCTCTTCCTCCTCATCAATTGGTCCCTGGTACACAGAGCTACCACCATACATGTCTGGGAGACGTCCTGGGCTGTAGTCACGGGCCAGGCGTGGAGCTCCTGGGGCACCCATAATCCGCGATCCACTTAACCCCTGTAGACCTTGCAGTCCTACTCCAGAAGCAGGGCCAGGGAGAGGGTCTTTAGGGTCTCTATGTATAGGTGGGGTTCCTGGTCCTGTCATGTCCATGGGAGGAAGTGGAAGAGAGTCACCATTTATATCAAAGTCACCTGTGTTTACACCTCTCTTTGGAATAGAAGGACTGGCCTTTCTCTTGTTGAGGTGACGAGGTAGTGAGCCTGTAGTCATTATCTGTAATATAAAGAGGATAAGGTCTATTATTAATTGGAAATAGAAAAAGCATCAGTACTGTACTATGATTTCCCAGCAATAATTTATAAAACATTTGTTGTATATTTTGTGAATGTCTTATCAAACACATTTGCAAGTACTTGTACAGTTCTGTTCTGTACTGGGGCTTACATTTATATGTAATCAACAGATTTATAGTGTTGGAGAAATTATTATCCAAAATTTTTTATCTCTGCAAATGTAATTTTTTAAAAAAGAAATTGAAATTTTTCTTGAGAACTTAATTGTTTGTCATGTGCATTGCAGATTTCTTATGTTAGGTTAGGTTGGGTAGGGTAACATTAAGTAAGGTTGGATAAAGTAAGGTAAGATTAGGTTTTGTTAGGGTAAGATACATTTCACTAATTTTGCAGCCAAACAAATCACTCCTCCTGAATGTATCGTATAAAAAACCTATGAACAGAATTCTTTTTCTAAGAAAAAAAATTGTTTTACCACTTAATATTTACCCCCCTTTTTTATTAGGGTTGATGAACATAGATTGGGTTAGGTATTATTTAACTCTGAGTCATGGAGACTTATTGGATACTTAGCAGAATAAGTTGTTATAACTTGGTCCTAGCAAAGGAGGCAAAAATGTTCACTTGACCTCATATTTGGCTTTCATTACTGACGGATATTTACAGCTACAGTATACCACATTAATAAGGTCCATCTGCAAGTTTACTCAGTCATAAAAAAAAAAAATGTACCGTAAATATGGACAATAAAAATCTTCTATTTTGGTACAAATTACTTGAAAAGTTGTAAGACGGCAAAAGCTGCGTCTCTTCCATTCCGCGAGAAATAGAAACACTCGAGCCTCTTCTTATAGTAAAAAAATGAACTAAAAAACAAACTGTAATATAGTATTTTAGTATGTTGATGTACAAAGCATCATCTTCATTATTCTATGATAAAACAAGTCTAACAAACATTATTACAACATATATTAAAAAAATTTCTTATGCAATCGGGAAATAGTGACTACTATATCTGGGTTGAGAGTGTTACAGCACCTTAGGAGGTGCTGTAAGTTACGGGCTCACTTACGGAGTCCGCTGCCAAATATTTGTTTTGAGTATACCGATCGGAAACTGTAAGTCCAGTTACGGGGTAAACAAAGAGATACAGTCTCGTAAATGATTTTGAGTATGCGGCCCCTGTACTGTAATGAGTACAGTAGTACTGTAAAAGCTTTATTATCTGGAATTTAACTAACCAGAAAGCTCTTGTATCTAAGAGTTCCAATATTTACCAAGACAAAATCATATTTGTACTGGACATTTAACCACTTCAACATGGGATGCCACTTTTAATATTCTATTTGGCTAATGCCAGAAAATTTTATTCAGCACTTTACTTATTGTATACAGTAAATGTTTTAAAATTGTTTTAGTGTTTATGTTTTTTTGTACGTATACATTTAAATGTGTGAGGAAGGTTTCAGCCAAATTTAAATGTCAACAAAGATGAAAAAATTACTACCATAGTATCATTATTACTTTTCACAGAAAATTACCCCTTGAGTACTTTTATTTTTTCTTACTTGGGTTCATTTTGCACAAAGGCTTCTATACCCATACATCTTGGTCTTATAATTTTTTCAATGGAGCAAACCTCAATTTTAGTTTATGCTTTATGAATCGAAGGTATGTAAAATCACATAAATCATACCAAAGAAATCCCACTATAGGAGAGAACAGAAAACCAAAAGCACTGTATATTTCAACCATAACTTATGGTTATCTTCACCACTTCACAATGCAGAAAAGGACCGTAGGTTACAGTTGAATCTTTGGTTTTCTGTGTTTTATCTTCTATAGAGAAATTTCAGTGTTACTATACACTACAGTACTTTAATCTTCCGATTAATGTTTAAAGTGGATTCTTAAGGACCAAGGTACAATGTTCATATTATAAAGTGGATTATGTGCATAACTATTTGTGTTTGGGTTCATGGTCCCATGACCCACTGCACTCATTTTGTGAGTCACTTGTTAGTTCACAAAACCATTAAGTTTACTACTTGTTGATCCCAGGGGTACATAAACTAGATTGGCTCTACTTTATTACTTAATACTGTAAGAAGCAAACTAGACTCTGGCAGTTTAATTCAACCATCCATGCATAAGCATATTTTTTATCCATTTTTGATAATGATAATATGGTCAGGTACAGCTGCAGAAATGTGTTTCTACCACCCAGTGGTAACCCATGTCACAAACAGCCAACCTATATGACCTATAGCAAACCTATCCACCAATCACATACGTCATAACACGACCAATACCCATTCATTCACAAATAATGATACTACCGTACTACTGATTCGTTGCCATTTGGAGACACGGGTACCACAGGGAGTGTAGGAACACATTTCCGCAACTGTACCTGTCTTCCAAGAGCCCTGTTAACCATTGGGGATTGATGCCTCCACTGAGGGTGTTGTTGCTGGGGAAACAGTGGAAGTCCTTGTGGGCTATTGTACTGCTGAGGATGGTCAGGAGGTGGGTTCTCTGGGAGAGGTGGAGGAGCATACTGTTCCCAGGGAGGAATATAGCCCCGTTGCACCACACCATGAGGCTGTAAAAGTCACATCATATTAGTTGTTATTTTCATGTTCACCCACATCTAACATAACCTTATCATGTCTGCTAACCTTAACAGTCAGAAAAATGCAATATTGGAAATCTTAAAACACACACACAATATAATTAAAAAAAAAACATTCAGGAAACTGAAACTAGGGTGAATTATGTGTTGATACATAATGATCACAATCCCTGAAAAGCATAATGTACAGTATAGTCTGGATTTGCGCGGTCAATTGAACCCGTGGAGGTCCGCGTAAAACGAGAAACGCGTAAACGAAATAACAGAACATATGGGAGTAATTGAAATAGAGACTGGGTCGACCCCAGACTACCCTTTTTCCGACTGGGCACACGGAAATGGGGGGTTGGTTCCGAGGCAGAGGGCAGATTATTGGCCCTCACCTGTATCACTTGTATCAATTGTATCACTATCCACCACAGAGGCTTGCAGGGCCTCTTTGTCAAACCCCTCAGTCCATATCTTCACTATCACTGACTTGGGGTGGCAGGTGAAGAACTCGGTAATGTTTTGTTAACTGGGCGACCTAGTGCGCACCCTGCCCGTGCCACTTCCCGCGTAAATGATGGAATGTACAGCGTAACTAATAATTGCCGGTCTGGCCAGGTGCCGCGTAAAGGAATTCCGCGTAAATCCAGACTATACTGTACCTTTATTTTTTCATCTGTAAGGTTTTATAGCACCGTGTGTTGTATAGGAATAACTCAGTAGATAAAACAGACCTGCTTAGAGTTGAGTGCCGGTGAGAGGGAAGGCTTGTAGAGTTGCTGCTTCTTGAGGGTACAGTAGAGGACGAGGTTGTCATCAGGCTTCTCCACTGCATTACTGTCTCCATACATGCTGCCGTACACGGGGATGTTTGGCTCTACTTTTTCACCCTAGTTAGGAGGATTATTTTATTTCGTATCATTCTATGAAATCAGAAACAAGAACAATGGTGCATCTACATAAACAAATACAGGTACTGTACAAGAATTTTAAAATAATAAAATGAACACTACTGTGGATTATTCTACAAATTATAAGCCATCCCCTTGTACACAATGAGAGTACCGGTGCATAACTGTATAGTACAGTACAAGGTATGTGCATAAATCAAATTTCTTAAAAAATTTTCTTTACAAGAAAGCTGTTTTTCTTTGTAGTAAAGTTATTTATTAAGACCTGCATGTAAATAATAGAATAAGCACTCCTTTCCTCACACAGCCAAACTGTGGAATGCTCTGCCCTCTGTATTTCTACACTCATACAATCTGTCTCGCTTTAAAAAGCTGGTTTTCCGGCATCATCGTGATGTAGATTAATGCAACATTTTCCTTTTCTATTAATTTATTTTAACTTATTTTTTCACCCCCTAGGCCCTGATGTGGGTTGATGACCTGTGCCCAGGTGGGCTATTCCCCGTAAAAAAAAAAAAAAGGATAAATCAATCTTTTATCTGTAATCTCTAATAAATGTGTCATTTACATGCTGCATTTTTTGGTTCATTATCTTTTTATTTTTAAATATCCTGTATATGATATACAGGATATTTAAAAATATTTAAAGTATATCCTAAATTGTCTCCACCATCCTTTCATAAAATATGCTCATTTTGCAGTACAACTTTAGTGTTTTTTTTTAATCCTTAGCTTTTCTAGTCATTGGTATAAGTGAGTAGGCCAGTGCTAACAGCTGGGAGGGGAGCTAAGTAACACAATACCTGTACTGTAGTATATGTGGTTCTACAATGCTTGTTTTGGGGATGGAATGTAAAGGAAGAGTTTCATTACTATACTGTCGTTGGTCTTCTCAAGCTTCCTGACTATTTTAAGTACAATAGGATTCCACTTAAACAAGCCATATTATGATTTATTATTTTAAAGTGTTTTGTTATAACCATCTCAAAATTATACACTGTATCGGTGTTTTCCCATTTTTTTTTTACTTATAATGCAGTGAGTAGGGCATCGAGGCAAGTTTGCCTATTTACAGTACATAAATTACTGCACAATATGTCTAATTTTAACACTGAACCACAGAATGATATACAGTGATAATTTGTGTTCATCTATGGTTCCTGAAACACAGGTGCTTATCAATTTTAGAAGTGATAAAACACCAGTACTGTAGTAGTTCTAAATTAATTATAACCTAACCTTAGGTGAAAGAGAAAAACAAGAAGCAGAAGCATTGTTAGAAGATCTCACCAACCTAACCAAAGAAACGTACCTAACCTTACCTAACTTTCTATCCGTGAGAGCAGCCACCCAGACTGTGTGGCTGGCTCATTAACATACAGGTACACTTGGCAACTGGCGTCGATTGGACACGGCAGTGTGTTTTGAAATAGGTCAATATGATTGGTTGTTTACATTCGGGGATGCAGCATCACCGGCGCATTACAGTACCTCTGAGAAGACAAAGTAGTGTGTGCCTAACCTAATTATCGGTCAATTTATAGTACTACACCAGTCTTTATTTCAAAATTAAAAATAGGTTTTTCCTATGTATTTTGATGAGTTTCGAACGAATTTGATATTCGTTTCCACCAGAAATCATGTGTTTTTTAGAATAAAAAAAAATTATATTATCAACTAACGAAGAAAACCTAATCTAACCCAACCTAACCCACTGTTCATGCCCCAGACGCTTAAAGAGCGAAGGGGGAGGCCTGGAGCGATGCGTGAGCAGGGGGCCAGATCACCTCCGCCAAAAGTAAACAAAACATGGCGACACTTGTGACTGAGCGAAAGTAATAATCCTGAAAAATTAATATTTCGGTTATCCTTAATTTCCGGTGGAAATATCAGAAGAAAAATGTCTTATAATTGTGTAGACATTGAGATAAATATTTCTAATACGGAAATAAAGACAGGTGTGATACTGTAATTTCACCTAATTATCTACCAAACGAAACAATTTCCATAGAAATAGTAAAATAAACACCAAAACAAATAATGTGTTGGCGGGTTAGTCGTCAATATTAGCAAAAATTACTTTAAAATGTGTATATTATATAGGTAAAATAACTAACTATTCATTAGTTGCAATATCAAAGATTTACATTTCTCCCGCGAATGATGTTTGTGGTGGCGTAGGCTACAGGAGTACCAGGTGCCTGTGTCCCTGGGGGCATGAGGGGTGCCACTGGGCCATCCACCTCAGCATAGTCTCCAGGTGTGGCATTGAGGTTGAGCAGCTTCTCTGGGGTGGCATCGTTCTTTTCTTCGGTGGTGCCGCCGGAAGAGCTGCCCCACGGACCTCGCTCTATCCATAACCCCCCTGACATGGTCCCGTTCATGCTGCGACCATCCATCTTGTAACCTGGCAGATAATGATTTGGATAACAATGTTTTGCAGACTTTTTTTTCATACATCCTATTTTCTAAAACAAACATATTAGAAAAAATCATCAGATTTGGTTAAATGGAATTAATACAAACCTCAAAAATAATCTACTGTACGCTTTCTTTATTATGGGTGTGTATTTTAAAGCAAAGAAACATTATCAAAATGAAGAGGCACACTAAGATTCAGAAAAAAAGATTAAATGAGACCATCCTTTACTTGTTTACACAGCAGCACTTGTTCCTTTCACTTTTTACAGTGCACTACCTTCTCCCCTGAGTCCCCTCACAACTCATGGACACAAAATCATAAATGCCATATTTAATACCGATAATAAAGTATCCCACTTTGCTTTAAAAAGACGTCTATATGAAATACACATATCTGCAAGTTTATGATACAAGGAAATGTGTGCTGTGGGATTCTGTTACCGAGAGGAATGTGCACAAACACTAATTGCATTATATGGTTGTCAAGCACGGAGTAGCAATACACTGTAGTGTATTGCAATTTGTGATATAGAGCAAAAGTCTTCAAGAACAGTAAACAGAGGTACACAGAGAAAGAACTTCAGTCTGGCCGCCGCCTTCATTATTATACTTGTGGTACAAGTGTCATGATTGGCTCATGGCCTTAAAATCTATGAACTACTATAATATTACTGTTCTCCCCATGCCCCCAAGATCCTTAAAATGTTACCTTCTCCTGTCACCCTCAAAAGTTCTATCATTCCCACTAAGCTGCCTGTAAGATTGAGGTGGATAGTAAGCATGACAGGTGCCCTTCAGGCAACAACTCGTTTACCAGGGCGCAACACTCGAGAGAAATCAAGAAAGGTGGGAGGTTGGTCGGTGATGAGGTTAGCAGGTTCCCCCGAGCCTGCCTGCCTGGCGTGCCCTCCCACCCTGATGCCCACCACTCCAATTATTACACTTTGTTCAGGGAATAGCATACCATCACAGCATTAACGACGTTACGTCCTCCCCTGCCTCACACTTTTCTTGTGCTTCGTATTTTTAGGTGTTACTGCCAAATTTCAACATATTTTGTTGTACTTTACCATATATAAGTTATTGCTGACATAAACATCACCCTTTCTCTTCTGTGTCGTATTTCTTTTATCACCAAATCTTAAGATGCTAAACAACAGTAAACATAAATGAAAGGCTTTTGCTTTTCATTGCTATTACTAGCTTTAACGTATGCTTTGCTTATCTGTGCTATTTGTATTATTTGTTTAATAGGGGCGAATGATCTGTTACGGGATTCGTTAAAATTTCTTAATGTGTTTATACTTTTTAAATCATGAATTAGTTGATATACATTTGTTTTTGTACACACCTACAGACACTAAAAAGCATTTTTTTTTACACTCGAGATAAAATTGAAAGTGTGGATACAACACTAGGAATTTGGTACACAAAAAGCAGCAGGGCCGGTGTAACGGACCAGAAGTTCCCCGGACCAGAAGTAACCGAAACGATAACTGCGCATGCGCAGTTGATGACGTCACATTCACAGTGACGTGACCCAGCCTCACCGTGCGTCTGAGTCGGACCAGAAGTGACCAGTTGTGCTGTGGCGATAGATAAGTGGATATGGCGACACTGACAGGGCAGAAAATGCAGATTGAGAAATTTTAAAAGTACATGGAGTATGTCAAGTACTACCTAAAAAATAACACCGCCAGGCAGTGACAATCATGTAAAGAAGGCAGTGGTGAAGGCTACGAACAGTAATCCGTATAGAATTGATGGTTAGTAAGTATGTCACTTAGCAAATTTGAGCACCAATTTCAGGATTATGGCAGAGAATTATAACTTCAGAAGAAGAAAAGCAGAGTATTCTTTTGAACTGCAATGCTGCACCATCTGCTGGGCACAGTGGTATCATTACCACAACTGAAAAGAATTCCCAGCGGTATTACTGGAAGAGTGTAAAAGAAGAAGTGAAAGATTATGTAAGCCTTATTATTTGATTTTAATACATTTTTACACTGCAATAGATATTCTCATTGAACTCCAAATATAAAATTAGAAAAGGTAAAGAAATTTAAAGATGAATTGCAGCACTTCTTCAGAACACCCCCAAATGGCAAGCGCTATTGTCATGCTACATGTACAGCCACCCAAAAAAGTCCTGTCGCGAACCATGAACCCCGAAATTCAGACTCTTGAATCAGAAGCATTTATGGACAGAATAATGTTTCAGTGTCTACTGCTTCGGGTTCACGAGTCTGAATCTCGGGGTTCGTGGTTCGCGACACGACTTTTTTGGGTGACTGTACAGTCGGCCACAGGAATAAGTATACACACTGTAGCTATAAGGTCCGAAAATGGTCTGGTAACATTGAAACTGCGCATCCAGACGCATGATGAAACTCAGCCCCCCCCCCCCACCTGTTATCTCTAACTATTTTCTGTTTCCCCTTCTTTATTCCTCTATTTACTCCTCTTCCTTCCTTTACTAATCCAAACATCAGTAAAAAGTTTACTACCATTGGATACAATATATTACTTGTAATACAAACACAAGACACTAGTAAAACATTCACTACAAATGCATATATATAACATATATGTAGGAATAAAACATAAATTACAGGTCATTTTGTAATTTTGTCTGTTCTGTTCAGGACAGTGTTACCAGATATTTGGTCTCAACACGAACCGTCGGTATAGAGTACTATAGACAGTACTTATTCTTGTGGCCGACTGTACGTGCACGGTCCTCAAACATTTGCAAGTATGAGTGATTTCCCTTTATATTGGTTACTTGGTTCGTCACCGTCTTCCTTGTCAAACACTCCCAGTGACCAACACAGCCAAGGCCTCTTCTACAATAGGCGGCAGCAGCTCCGTCACCCACGAGTTCCACCCCAAAAATCCTCTTGCGTCGCATTCCCATTTCCTGCCAATTTCCGGTTGGAAGTGAAGCTTTCTCATTCAGTTTCCGTTTCCTTTTACGTTCAGTACTCCTGCAGGTCTCATTCGGGAAGGACTAGTGTCTCCGAAATTTAAGTCACCTACTTCTGATCTGGATTTTTTTGTACTCATTTTCGTCTCTGAGGCCCCTCTATCAATACCACTGGACTGTAGGCTTATTTTTATAGTTTGGATGAAAACTTAATTATAAACAATTCTGAAAAAAAAAACTTCCCATGAGAACAGTTGAGGAAATTAATACTACCCGGTATATTCATTAGTTTTCTTTTATGCTTAGGTTAAAATATGCCCGCAAATAAAATCAATAGTGATACCATTACAATAGAGCAGTTTCCTGCACCGTATTTTTCATTTTTTTCTTGTTCTCCAGTCACCCCCGTCTCAAGTGCACAGCTGATTGAGCTTCTTGGCCACCCACCGCTGTAATTAAGATATGCTAATACATTAAAGCAGCTGAGAGCCCAGTGTTGTGGTGTTCACCCTATGTTGAGGTCCTTGACAGGTTAGCTCATCATTCTGTCTGTCTGTCTGTCACAGTCCTTATTCCATACTTCATGTATCTTTCCCATTCCCTTCCTTACCTCCATTTCCCACATTATTCAGTACCTTCCCCAACTTCCCTCTCCTTTCCTTCTCTCCTTTATCTCACCCATTCCTTTCTCCTCTTTCCTATCCCCCATGTCTCCCACCCCTTCCTCATTATTCTCCCTCTCAGCTTTCCCCCACAATTTCTCCTCGTCCTTCCTTCACCCTCATCGCTTCCCTACCTCGTGCTTTCTCATTTTCTTTCTTCAATTTCCTTCAATCCTTCTCCTTTTCCTTCCTCCCCCCCCCACGCTCACTCCGACCTCTTTTCCTCGTTCCTCCCATTCCTCCTTCACCCTCATCTCTCCCTCCAGGCCCTCTAAGCAACGCATGCCCCAGGAGGGAATCACTAAATTAGATTAGCATTCCTGGGGTCGGCCCTTCCAATTCTGCTTTTCTTCAGGTTGCTTCTCTTTTCTCCTTCCCCCATAACGATTTTACTGTCGCTCACATTCTCTTTCCCCTCTTATTTTTCCTCCATAGTCTGTCTATCTATCTGATTGTCAATGTCCTTTATTTCTATTATCTTTCCTCTCTAGAGTGTATGTCTATCTGTTTGTTTCCTCCCTCTCTTTTCTTTCTCAATAATGTCTGCCTGCTTATCTATCTAACTATCTGCGTGTGTGTGTGTGTGTGTGTGTGTGTGTGTGTGTGTGTGTATTTCCCACTTTTTCATTTTCTTGTTCTTCCTCTAATCTCTCTAGTTGTCTTTCTGTGTAACCGCCTGTCTCTCACTCAAACTATTGTTGTTCTTTCTCTCAACTTACTGTGTCTATCTATGCATTTCCTTTCCTCATTACCTGTATGTTCATGTCAGAGAGAGAGAGAGAGAGAGAGAGAGAGAGAGAGAGAGAGAGAGTCCCTCATATATTCGTCCTACATCAATTCCTCACCCCCCAAAAAAAAAAAAAAAAAAAACGACACAAACTTCACGTGAAAGTTCAGTAATACAACAAAGAACTGTATAGTCTCATGAAAGGGATGTGGGCGGAGAGATGGGCGGTGGAGAGGGCAAATGGAGTCGGGAGGTATGGGAATGAGGGGGTGGTGTGGGAGTGGGGAGGGTCGTAGATGGTGAGGTGGGGGTCGTAGATGGAGGTGGGGGTCAGGATGGTGAGGTGGGGGTCGTAGATGGTGAGGGTAGGGTCGTAGATGGTCGTAGATGGTGAGGGGGGGTCGTAGATGGTGAGGGTGGGGGGTCGTAGATGGTGGGGTAGGGGTCGTAGATGGTGAGGTGGGGGGTCGTAGATGGTGAGGGTGGGGGGTCGTAGATGGTGAGGGTGGGGGTCGTAGATGGTGAGGGTAGGGGGTCGTAGATGGTGAGGAGGCGTAGATGGTGAGGTAGGGGGTCGTAGATGGTGAGGGGGGGGTCGTAAATGGGAGGTAGATGGTGAGGGTGGGGGTCGTAGATGGTGAGGGTGGGGGTCGTAGATGGTGAGGGTGGGG